CACAACTGTGCATTAACACTGTTGGCACTACCTTCCAGTTGTGGTGCAGCTCATTTTGACACTTGCATTTGCTTTGGAAAAACCACATAAGCAATACCTTTCATGCACATTCAGGACTAAAATGCTCACATAAGCAATTACAAAACTTAAACGCATGTCATAAATTTACACGAATCTTTGCACTAACCCCTCATCACTGCCAACAGACAGCCACATAAAATGTTATTCTAATCAAATAATCAATGATTCAGCTGAGTTCAATGAATCAAAAATCAGTTGAATTAAAGCCTCAGTAAAATTTGATTTTTAAATGTTTACTAAATTGAAGCTTAATGTTTCATGATTCTGCTAACAGGCAGAGCTCCCAAAAGTGTGTGGGGACAGTACTGGGACAGACATTGTTCAACATGTGTCAGTGACACAGTCAGTGGGAGCACCCTCAGCAAGTTGCCGATGACACCAAGCTGTGTGGTGAGGTCGACACGCTGGAGGGTAGGAATGCCATGTAGAGGGAACTGGACGGGCTGGAGAGATGGGCCTGTGCAAACCACGTAAAGTTCAACAAGGCCAAGTGCAAGGTCCTGGGGCAGGGTAATCCCAAGCACAAATACAGGCTGGGCAGAGAATGGATTGTGAGCAGCCTTGGGGGAGAAAGATTTCAGAGGGTTTGTTGGGTCAACATGACCCAACAATATGCACTCACAGAAGGCCAACTGTATCCTGGGCTGCATCACAAAAACCAAGGCCAGCAGGTTGAAGAAGATTCTCCCCCTCTACTCTGCTCTCATGAAACCCCACCTGGAGTACTGCATCCAGATCTGGGGTTCTCAGCCCAAGAAAGACAATATCCCATTGAAATGAGTCCAGAGGAGGGCCACTAAGTTGATCAGAGGTCTGGAGAACCTGTCCTATGAGGAAAGGCTGAGAGAGTTGGGGTTGTTCATCTTGAAGAAGAGAAAGCTCCAGAGATACCTCAGAGCAGCCTGTCAGTACCTAAAACGGGCCTGCAAGAAAGCTGGACAGGGACTTTTCACAGGCGCATGTAGTGACAGGAAGGGGGGAATGGCCTTAAACTGAAAGAGAATAGTTTTAGATTAGATATTAGAATGAAATTCTTTACTGTGAGGGTGCTGAGACACTGGAATGGGTTGCCCAGAAAAGTTTTGGATGCCTCGTCCCTGAAAGTGTTCAAGGCCAGGCTGGATGGAGCCTTCTGAGTGAACTGTGTAGTGGGCAAAAACTAATAAAGAACAAACACACACATTTAGCTCTCCATACATAAGAAGAGGACATAGTAATTCAGTAACTAAAATTAAAAAAATATTCATGATCAACTATAGCTTTATAGGCATTGACTAATCTCTTAAGAGACATTTGACATTATCTTGACAATTTCAGACATAAAATCTAAGAAAAACATGAGCTTGAATTTCATACCAGTCTCTATGCCTTGTGGCATCAACTTTCCACACTAGAACAAACCAATTTTTAAATAGATTATTATAGGATTAAGTATATAGAGCTAGAGCTCATTGATATGTCATTAATCTGGAATAGGATTATTCTGGTATTATGTCCATTATTGACTTATTTAACATATAAATTGTGTGGAAGAGAAGCAGAGCAGGCATTTTCTGCCATGCATTAAATGAATTTTCCGAGGAATATGAAGCAACAGACTTCCAGGCTATCACAAACAGAAAAGTGATTTGGCAGAAGTGGCAACAAGTTTTGATGAACAATGCATGACCATGTGAGTGACAAAAGCATCTTACAATTGATGGTATCAAACCTGCTATTAGACCTAACAGCAGGAACACAGCATAGTCATAGAATAACCTGGGTTGGAAAGGATTTAGAGATCTTCTAGTCCATCCTGCTCAAAATGAGTAGAGACATCTACTCTAGGACAGAATGACTTCCCTAGACCTGCTGCCTACACTGCTTTTGATGCAGCCCAGGATACAATCGGCTTTCTGGGCTGTGAGTACACATTGCTGGGTCATGTCCAGCCTCTCATCCACCAGCAGCCCCAAGTCCTTCTCGGCAGGGCTGCTCTTGATCTGCTCACCCTGTATTGATACCAGGGGTTGTCCGACCCAGGTGGAGCACCATGCACTTGGTCTTGTTAAACCTCATGAGGATCACATGGGCCTGCTTCTTGAGCTTGTCCTGGTTCCTCTGCATGCTGAATACAGTTCACAAAACACAGTAAATTCTGATCTGAAGCCTTACTGGTCCTGCAGCTCTCTTCCTGTTTTTCAATTTTTTATATTAAGTGACTTTTTTTTCAGATAAAATTAAAGATTTGCAGCTCTATGTATGTGGTTTGGGTTTTGTTGTTCTGTTTTGGTTTTTCGTTTTACACTGAATGGAAGTCAGAAAACAAATAAGAAATATAACATAAATACTGTGTTACTAAAACCTGTAAATTCTAAACTGATTGAAAAAAAAAGAATTAAAACAAATTCATAAGAAGTACATTATAAAGCTGACTAGATAAGTTATTTAGGTAGCAGTTCAAAAAGAGCTATTGTAAAGAAGTTCCTGAGTGAATTAAAAAATGCTCACAAAGCATGACTGCTTGAAAGAAATTTTATTTGTACGAGAAAAACTTAAAACTCTAGATGTCCCTGTGTATTATGATTCCAGATGATGGAAGTTAGCCACCAGAGGGAGCCCATATAGTCTGGTACAAGGACATCACTGTACAGATATTTCAGATAAGCAATAAACTTTATTGTGAATGGTTTGTAGTCTACATAATAAAACAGTCCTTCTCAGTACTTCATTTCAGATTCATTCTTATTTTTACAGATATAAATAAAACCAAGTGAACTATGAAGAACTATAACCATATCTAGAATATGCTGAAATAAACTAAAATACTCTATACATTACCTCTTTAGTTTATTTTGTTTGAAAATACCCACCATCTAACTTACCATAGTAGCCTACAAATAACATGGATGAGAGAAGACCTGGGAAATTTACAGTGTTGCCTTCAAACAGATTTAGGACTGGAATCATAAGTAACAGTGACATCTATAAGACATTTTTGCTGCATTTGTTTTGCATGCCAAGTTAGTATAATTTTTTACACTGAACATTTAGATTTATCTGAGGAGTCATCTCCTTCTCCAGCCTATTTAAAAAAATACATCTCACAGACTTCCGACGTTTGCCCTATGACTTAAAATATCTTTCTACCATGAAAAGTTCTCAAATAGAAAAAAGTGAGGTTTTAATCAAGAAAAAGCAGTCCTTAACACAGTGGATGTTTTCATTTGATCCTTAGAAGGCTGATACCTCACTCTACCTTCAACATCGTTGTAACTGTCAAAGTTCTATGATTCTAAGTTAATAAAATAAATATAACAGAAGTAGAAACTATAATTAACATCACTACTAGTCCGTGTTTCTAGTCTCTGACACTTCTTATGAATTTGTCTTCCTTTGCTGCTGAATTTAACTGTGCTTTCCCTCTGCACCATGACTGCTTTACAAAATTGATATCAATAAAATAATTTAATGCTTTAAAAAAATTTCAAGGTGTATATATTTACACACTAAATGTGTTATCCTTCCTTAGAATACTTTGCTTATTCCTTAGAATACATTTGATGAAGTTTTTACAGAGAATACAAATAGGATTTGAAGAACACTATAAAACAGCAAATAAGTAAAAAATGTATATAACTTCTCCATAAAATTAAAAAGTGAAGTTTTACTTTTCTTACAATTACTATTTTGTCTAGCAAAAACCACAAAAATAATGTGGATGACTTGAAGTGCACCACGCTCTAGAATACATTAGCAAGGGTCTTTGTAACCCTGGCAGTCAGAATCCTGAATACTAGATGGAGATCCCTAGCCATCCCATGACATGTCAGCAACAGCTAATCAAAGAGGTCTGAACACTGAATTTTCATGTGTCTTTATCCTGATTTCAAAACAACTGAACTTGAAACTCTGACATTCATACATTTTCTTTCTTAATCTTTACTGAAAAATTGCAAAATACACAGGAAGCTTTCAGAAATCATTCCACACACAATCTTACTGCAGCCTACTAGGACCATTAGTGGAACACAGAAGGAATATGAAACCACACTACATTAAAAACACCTCATAGACACATTGCAAGATACCTAGTAATCATATTTAACAATTTACTATAATTTTTCATGACCTACGTTAGTATGTACATTCTTGCTCTGAAAAAAAAAAATCTTTCTGCGCCTACACTAGAAGATAGAGATGTTAGTAAGGACTCCCAGTGCTGAAGAAAACAGCTAAGAGGTACTAATTCCTGTATTCACACACCTAGTGACTGTTTCACGGCAAATATTAAAAGTGACACTAGATATGCAGTACTGTGAGCCTGCTTTATGATGCCAGTCCACGGAAGTCTTATACACCATACCCAACCAGCATTACCTTCAGAAAGTAGTATTCAATTTGGTGCTTAGTAAAGAAACAATATGCATTATTGTATATTAAAATATATATTTTATAAAAAATATACTATATATCTATTAAAATGTTAATTTTGTAAGCTAACCAAACTGATACAACTGTTTCAACAGATCAGTAAGCAGCTGTATAGACATCTCCTCTGAATATATTAATAAATTTCTAATAAATAAAGATTTGAAATGTAATTTATGCAGAAACACTTAGGAGACAACACATAGTTTGTACAAGGAACTACAGTTGCTTGACAAATTTCACTGAGTACCAAGAAACAGTATAGTTTAGTAGTATAAATCTACAAATTACCAAGTTTTATGAACACAAATACCACGTGCACATAATAAATTCTGTTATCAATTTCTATGAATCATTTAACATCAAACGTAATGAATACTAAGAACTTGAAATTGCAAATACATTAAAAATATTGCACATTAAAAAACACGGGTTTGACGTTTTACGGAGAGTGGAAATTTCCAGTTTTAAAGTTAACTTTTCCTATTCTGTTATTTTTAATCTCTTACCAGGTCTTTCCTTCCCAGTTCCTTTTGATTCAGCAAATTTCTGTATTAAACTCTCAACTGTAGTATTTGTCATGTTATTAATAAACTCTTCGTGCACCTTCAAAAGAAAAAAAAAAGAATGCAATTAATTTTAAAAAATAGTTTTCTCTGTAGTTAAGGTTCAAAATACTTTCCTCCAAAATATACTACAGGACTTAAGAGACATCAACAGATATTTTAACAAGGAAATCCCTACTTTGCTTTAGTATTAGCAAGTGTGGATACAATACAGATTAAAAACAGAATGTCAGGTCTAGTTTTTACTTCTATCTTCCATCTAAAAAACTTGTGTATATATAGTTTTCTGAATTTGTCAGCAACATGTCGCACTACAATGTCAGGAAGACAAGCAGTTTCTTAAGCCAGCACCAGTTAAGGGTGTTAACTGTTACTACTAATTATCACAGCTCCCACCTGCTTAAGCAAAAGCATTACTGTTGTAATGTTTTCGGTCTGACAAAAAAACAACATGTTGTTGATAGGTTTTTCCAACAAAGCAGTATGTGTATATGCTTTATGCTTTAGAAATACATAGCATGACCCTTGTGACGACCGTTCACTAGCAGAAAACCTCAGTACTGAAGAAAATAGTGACTCTAAGTGTATGGAAATAAAAAGACACTTCAAAAAAATCTAAAAAAATAGAACTGCTTATAATGATTATTAACCAAATCAACTTATATCCAAACAAAACAAGATACTATATAAGGTTTTGTTACTAAAGATCTTTTGCTCATAAAAATCCAGGCGTATAAAAAAATTTGGAAACTTTTCCAAGTGATCTAATTTCTAGTTTTAATCAAAGAAGTTGTATCCTGATTATGTGTGAAATGAGTGCTAATTCAATATCTAGGGAGCATCAATTAGAAATACACTAACATTTCTTCAAATTGTCATAATATCTTGTTTTCCATTAAGACAATATTCAGACTTATCCTGTAAATTTTGTGACACTGAATTTAAAAATTCAACAGGAAGCCATGGAAATTTGAGCTTATTTGAATTTCCATAATTTGAAAAATGTAATTGCCACAAACACAGTAAGAAATATTCCATTTAATAGTTAAGAAAAATATATAGCATAATCCAAACAAACAAAAAATAGTATAAAAGTTACCTCTCCTATTTGTATATGAATTTCTTTTATAGTATTTGACAATGATTCTATAATCTCTTTCATACGAAGAAGGTGTGTTTCTTCAATGTCTTGAAATTTCTGCAAACCGATATGAGCAATTAGTCATAACAAAAATTCTTTTAAAGACTAAACTTTTTATTTTAATAATTAAATACACTAAATGGAAAAAACCCCAAACAAATAACTTTTTTTCCCTTCCAAATCTTTACCATGGCAATTACAACATTTAAGAATATTGTAAATACTTAAGAATAATTATTTAAGAATACTTAAGTAAGGCGCAGAATTTAGAGTTACGAAATAATGCACTTTAAAAAGCAGCATATCCTTTTAGAACCATTACTGAGGTTTTTTTACTTACTCTTTGAACTTTCATCTAATCTTTATTTTCAAAAAAATCTGATCCATTTCCACCAAAAGAAAACAGGTTTAGGGGGTGTTCAAATAACTCCTCTTTTCTCCATTACTGATGAGTCTTATTTCTGGATATGTTTTGCACTTCCTTTTTAGTACCTTCTCCTCCTCCTCAGAAATAGACGCATGCTTTCTCATTTTCTAGTTAAGTATACATCCTTTCCTTCTTTAAATATGATTAGTTTGTTTGAATTTTAAAATCATCACATATAATTTTTGCAGTTTGTTCCATTTTACTCAGGCTTCCAGCTGACAGCCATTTTAAAATCACTTCCAAATTTCTCAATGGCTCCTTCCTGGCCAAAAATCAGAACTAAAAATGTCCTCATCCTCCCCAACGGTCAACCATAATTGTCTGGAAATCTTTGTTTACTTCTGCTTTTTCCTAGTTCTCTGCCTATTTCTGTAACTTCCCTTTCAAGTGTGTCCAAACTTTGGAGCACCACTTAATCCTCTCTCCAATTTGCACAGGGTTCCCTAAAGATCATCTCTCCCCATTTCACACCTCCTGCTACTCTGATTCACAAATACAACTCTGTCCAGACAAGACAAATATCTGTAACTTCTAAACCCTCAATCTTCTGCCGTACTTACATACCTCTCTAGTCATCAATCGGGCAGACTAAAATTATTTTATTTTTCTCCAGCAGCCTTCCTCTTAAATACAGAGGATACGGTTATCCTCTGTAGCCTATGCTATGATGTTACTCTTGTACTGATTGCCTTATTATGTAAACTATCTCTGGTCTGTCTCTAACATCTGCTCTCAGTCACAGGGGTGTCAAGACATGTATACAATGTGTTCTTTAAACTCTTCTCCTTAAAGCACATGAAAACAGTTGTCCATACAGACACATATTTTTTGTCTGTTAGTGGAAAGCATCCCCCCAATTGTTTTCTTCCTTCTTTTTTATTGTTTTATAATTCAGATTTAAAGTCTCTGAAGTGTAGCCATCTTGAATAAAGCTAGGTATTATAATACAATCCCATAATTCTTATCACAGGTATAATCACTAGCCAAATTATTTACTTTCCCTTTCGAAAGATCAATTTTAAAAAGATGTACTGAAACGGATCTGTAATGTTAATAACCCAACAAATACATGATGCTGCTTAGTGCTTTAAGCTACAATACAAATGTGCTTTAAGCTACAATACAAATGAAAAATCATCATCAGAATCTTTAGCTGTTCAACTCAGTATACACCATTTATTCAAGCACATGTTTTATAAACATGTATGTTTTCCTGTAAATTTACAGTGTTTCTTAAAATGCATTCTTACTTATTCTTGACATTTATTCATATGCAGGCTGCTCAACAGCAAAATTATCAAAATTCAACTCTACCCAGATCTAAAAAAGGTAGAGGACTTTCAAAGGATACAGCATTTTCAACTATTTGATCCTTTCCAGTAATTGCCTGAGCTACATGATTTTAAAAAACCCTCCAGCAATGTGGAAGATCTGGCAAATAAGACAACATGTTTTCTTAGCAACTGCACAGCAAGTGCATAACAATACTATAGATGTACTCAAAAATGTCCCTCCACATGAGGAATTTCTGTCAAATCCAATTTCTAAACAACAACGAATTGTGTTTTCCTACTTCTTCAATCACAATAAACCTTTCCATATTTATCGCAGCAATAACTCTAACTTGTAAATCAAGACTGAAATCAAAACTTGCAGAATGGCAATTTTCTTTTCCAATATGGACAGATGTGGAAAGTTTGCAAATGTCCAATATAACATTAAGTGAAAATTTAATCCTTAAGTAAAAGGATTGCTACAATTAAGGAACTAAGCACATTTAGACCAGTTTGGTTTAAAATGTAGCAAGGAATGGCACATGCAATGATACAGAGAACTTGATATCCTCTGGGAATTTTTAAGACTCAGTCTGTATTCCAGAAACTTTAACAGATGTAAGGGCTTTCCAAAATCTCAGGTAAACCCTGGGAAGACACTTTAACAAGCTGTAACTAAACTGTTTTGATGGAAAAGCCACAATGTATCTCAATATTAAAACTTCTATGAATAATGTCTGGGTGCCCGGCAATTCAGAGGATTTCCCACAAAATCACAATGCATCTACAATACGTCCACAAGTTCCTTTTGCTTTCTTCCTAAAATTTCTTCAAAAAGTCTTTCTTGAGCTAGTGCTCAACTGTGTCATTCAAGGACAGTGCTATCACAACCACCATAGTCAATGTCTGCCTTTCAAACAAATCTATTTCCAAATTAACCACTTTTTCAAAAACTTTGATTTCAGATGGCTTCAGAGATGAAAGTCTATAGACATTAGTCTATTTCAAAGGTAACTCAATTAATATAATACCTACCTGTGCTGTTTCTGTCATTTTCACTTCAAAATCAGCTTTAAACACAGCGTACTTCTCCACATATAGTTTATAGGTATCTGTAGCTTTTTTTGTTTTAACTGCTGCCTGTAGATCAGTACAAAAAGTGTCAAATGTCACACATATGATCTGAGCCAAGGTTTTTACAGTCATTATTAAAAGACAGCCTAGGATGATCCCTAAAAATTATCCAGGGACATATCAAAACAGGGAAGTGTCATAAAAAAAATTTATCACCAAATAACTCATATTCAAGCTATTAAAGATTTCTATTTAGAACTACCATAAACCACATTAAAAAAAAATCTAAAAAAGCTGTTATGTCATTTAAATCCCTTCCACTTACTAGCAGTGAAAAATTTATAATACACTTATTTGGAAATCAAATTCTTATTGCTGACAATAACTCATTAGCTCTGTCAAACATTTACAACAAATTTATATTTGCAACAGCAAAACAGGAAAAAAAGCTAGGTTAGAATATATATATATATTGCACAAGTTATATGTGCAATTCCGAAAGAGTCAATGGTAAAAAAAACCAAGATGGTGCAATTCTCTTAGAAAAAAAGGAAGAAATTGAAAAGTAAAAGCGTTACATCAACGGATTAAGAGGCGTTATCAATGGATTAACAGACATTTGAAAGTGAAACTAATGGAGAACACACTGATAATCAGATTTATGCAGGTTAGTCTTATTTATAATAGTCCTTGTGAGATTTATAATTGTTTTTTCATTATTTGTTGCTAATAAACCAAAATCATCTTTCTGGGAGTTAAATAAAAGATAAAACAAAACACAGGAGAATCTCAGTATTACATGGAGAACAAAACTGAACAAAGTGACTGACTGTGGTAGAGAAAAAGTTATTTTCAAAGTCTACAGCTTGATGAACGAGATGAAGTCTTTCAAACCTTTGATATTCTATTTCCAAGTTAAATGCCAATGAAAATAAAAATAATTTTGAACATCATTTTTCCCCCTAAGCCTTTTTTGTTAAATGTGCCTACTTTATCTCATTGAAATTTCCAATCAGTTGTAAATCAAAAGAACTCCTGAATTGTTAATGACATCAATAAAGACAGCTGTATATTCACCATTTGTTCCAGTTCTGAGTAGCCCTCTTCCCCTTTCCAATTAATTTCATCTGACTCACAGTAAAAACAGAAACTATTTTTTACTTGCAATGAGTTGTAAAGCTGATCATTATCTCTAACACTCAAATGAATTAATAGAAATATGCCCTCTGGCAATAGAGAGATTGATTCTGCAATTTCCAAGAGAAAAATAACAGAAAATCATGAGTAACAATATAGCATTAGCACTTGTTCACCTGCAGAAACATAACCAAGACTTCAAAGGAATAAGGAAACAAAGCTACAGTTTCACTTTTCCTTGTTTTTAAAACTGATTAAGACTGCTTTGCAGTAAGATCATTCCAAATATATCCATTGAAAAGGAAGGAAATGCTAAGTTAAAAGACTTAAAAAAAAGGGTTTTCTGGTAAAGCATTATGTAACTGAACCCCATGTGCAAGGGATTTTGACAAAACAAAAACATTCTCCATCTCCTATCATGTTTAACGATGAGCAGAATCCGAGTATTAATGCTGAAAAGCATTTAAAAAACTAACTACTCAGCAGGACAGACAAAATGACAAAACACATGAACACTGATTAGCAACTAATGTCTCCTGAAAACAGGATGTGACTATTCTCAGGTGCAGCAATTGCTAGAACCATGTTTAGCAAATTTACAGTAAGTGAAAGAAAAGGATCAGTCAAGAATTTTTTGTTAAGTCACTATATATAGAGAAGTTCACATGTCAGAGAACAACAGGAAATCATTACACAACTTAGTATTAACTTTCAGCTGCAGATACCTCCTCAGACTCTTCAATAAAGTATCTCTCCAAACATTTGGCTTTGTATACTGGTATAGATCCCTTGTTTTCTTATAAAGCAGTTATTCTGTGGTTTTGATAGAAAACAGTTTTCATGTTGTGCTTAATGTAATAAATCTATTTTCTACCAAAGAAAAAATAAATGAATACAATCTTTAGTCACCCTGTTTATGAAATTACAAGTGTAAATTTGCATAGATGCATGACTGAAGAGATGTGACAGTACCAGTTACCTGCTCCCACTGGAAACATTTTTTAAGTACTTGCAGAGCGTTCAACTGTGATCTAATTGTATCTAGGAAGATACACAAACCAGCAGAAAATGACCTTCCTCCTACAGTGCTTCCTCTTTCTCTCTTCTCATGTAGTCATCTCTCAGGCTGAACACTTTTTTATTTCCAAATTAATAAGGGTAATGGTACATCTTAAAAACAAGCTTTCCATCAAGTCAGCTTTTCCTCCTGAAAAGTTTTAACGTATTTACAAGAATTCAGAAAAATTATACTTTGAATATACTGGCAGAAAAACATCTGCCAACACACATATTTCTGATTCACGTCTAGAATCCAACATCAACTGTTGTTTGAGACAAAAGCTAGGGGGAAAAAAAGGCTAGATTTATATCAATCTGAAACAACTGGAACATGGTGAACAGAATCACTTTTGTCACCAGTGACAATAACCAATTTTATCAAGATAGTAGTAAAAAAAGCACAAAGATCATTTTAATAAGCACAAAATCTTACACAGATCAGTTAATGAAAGTGGAAATCAGCAGAGAAATCAAGATTTAATAAGAGAAGTTCTAGTTAGAGATGAGGAAATGTGACCTCTTTCCTCTACTAGTTAGATTCCTGAAAACAGGAAAAAGTTACAGTGATGTCAGCAGGTCAAGGAAGGTGATCCTTCCCCCTCCACTCAGCACTGGTAAGGCGGCACCTGCAGTAGTGTCTAGTTCTGGGTTGTCCATTGCAAGAGAGACATGGAGGTACTGCAGTCCACTAAAGGGCAATGAAAGCAATCAAGGGACTGAAGCACCTTTCCCATGAGAAAAGGCTGAGAGCACTGAAACTGCTCAGCCTGGAGAAGAGAAGCCTTAGGGAGAATCTTATCTATACATATAAATACCTGAAGGGAGGACAAAGTCAGGCTCTTTGCAGCGTTGCACAGTGACAGAACCAGAAGCAACGGGTACTAACAGAAAACACAAGAAGTTCCCTCTGAACCTCAGGAAACACCTTTTTCCTGTGAAGGTGACTGAGCCCCGGCAGAGGCTGCTCAGAGAGACTGTGTAATCTCCATCCTTGGAGACACTAAAAAGCCACTTAGATGTGGTCCTGGGTAACTGGCTTGAGGTAGCCCTTCTTGAGCATGGGGGATAGACAGGATGACTTCCAGAGGTCTCTGCCAACCTCAGACATTTTGTCTGAATGGATCAAATGGATCTGCCATAACCCAAGGGCAGTACTAAATACAACATCAAGATACTCATCCCTTGAATTTCTGGTCCATGAAATTGGAACCTTTTAAATTAGCGCTGAAAGTATTGATTACATGTTTTTTTTCTCAATGGAACAGACTTCAAATATTCATGTAATTAGTTACCTTAACCCATAAAAGGGACAACACAATTACTCCTTAGTTCAGTAACAAGGGCACTGACTATTTGTGTCAATCAAACAAAATTGACATTTTATTTTAGGTAATCTAGTAACTAGTGTATCAGAAGAACTTATGAAGGAAAAAATTAAGTCTAGGGAAGAAATATCCATACGCCACATAAAACAATATAAGGAAATATAATCAAAAACATAATAGATGCTAAAAAAAATTATGCGCGATTTCTGTAAAAGCCATTAAACAATACTACCATATAATGCAGGTATGTACAAAATAAAGAATTAGAACTGCAGTGTGATTAGAACAGAGAAGGAAGTAAGAATAAACAAAACATCACTGGGTATTCAAAATATCATGCACATTATAAAAGTCGCAACTACTACTTTTAATTACACTTAACCCTTTCAAAGCATTTTATTAACACAAGGTGAACACATTACTGATTAACAACACAGTTAAAGTAAGACAGAGCTACCTTATCAATTTCTCTCTGCGTTGCTCCTTCCTTTTTCAGGCGGTCTTGTTCCACACACTTTGTATTGTAGTTTTCCTTTGATTTCTGCAAGGCCTGAGTGATACTTTGAATATTTTGCACTGCTTCCAAAGTTCCTGAAACATCCTCTTTAGTCTGCCAAATATCACACGGTTGTCAAAAGCAAATCACTTTAATGTTAACAAGTCATTGGACATGCATAAGAGAAAATTAATAACCTTTTTATAAGCTTTGATTTGTTCATCTCCATACTTGTGAACTTCTTTTATTAGTTCTTGTAATCTCCGCACAAGATCCAAATGACAGCTTGCTAGTTTTTCTGTTGAGGTTTTGAAAACATCCCAAACTGGTGCAAATGTCCTAGATTGAGGAAAATAATACTTAATGTTCATCTGGATTTTTTTCTTTTAGTAGGCTTTTTTTTTTAATAGTGCCAAAGGGTAATCAAGAAATTTACAGTTCACTTCAGTTCCTAAAATTGAAACAAACAAACCCCCCAACAACTGCTGTAAATTCATATTAAATATGTTCCAAATGTACTTGACATCCTATCTACTAATTTTTTATGTTTTCTGTTTTACCCGTATTGACTCTTATTAGTAAATCAAAGCAAAGTTAATTTAATCCTCTCTATTAACAGCACACAATAATACCAAGTGGTAAGATGGTGCAAGAGCAGCTCAAAATAATCTAACATGCAGTAAGTATTTTTATGTATATACTTGAACAGTGAGAACAAATCAGAAATGTATTGGTCAGTTAATTTGTAGTTGTCTTACGCCACTGCAGGCGTAAGATGCAAAAAAATATATTGCCAAAGATGGTCTGTTGATCAACAAAAGGAATTTACTGATCAACAGACTTGAACTGTATGGCACAGGAAGGTGGGATCATCTCTCAGATTGAGATTTCTGTGCTGAATTGACTTCTCTAGATATTCTAAAGATATATTTCTAACTCAATTTCCTGGTTAATGCTGCTAAAAAAAATTAACACTAACCATACCCATTGAAGCACTGGTCTAATCTTTCTGATGAAAAAGAATCCATTAATCATTCCTTTTTTTTATACTCTGTGTATAAAACTTCCATTAAGCTATGGAATGAATCTATGGAAAAGTCTCATTCTGAACATCTCTGAGGACAGATAGCACTCCAACACCAGAAAAAACAGAAACAAATAAATTAACTACCACATTTACAGACCATAAGTTCTCTCTTCAAAATAATTTCCATAGGCTTGAGAACACATAACAGAAGTCATACGTCTGAAAAGAACTGTGCACAGGGGAACAGACAGTTTCTCCATGTTTGGCCTTTGGTCTTTTTATTCATAGTTTTAAAAAACTGTGCTGTCTTAGTTTTTATCATAGCTGCATGATATTTTGCATTGTTACTGAAGAACTAACAATCATTTTTAAAGGTGGCAAAGTTATGCTAACCTTCAACATCAGCAATAAAATACTCAGAATCAAACTTGATTCTTAATAGGCATGCAGATATTTATTTCTCTCTTATGTACACTTACTTACCCAAGTTGAGTGTAATTGCTTGCTGATTTGGCTAGTTTTGTCATTGACCTTGAATATGTCTCTTCTATTGTAGCCCTGACAAAGAAAACCATCAAAAGCATAATTGAAATTTTGAAGACATTTGAAGAAAGTTGAATATGCATTCTAAAGGTACAAGACAAAGGACTTTTTACTTTAGCTGAAAATTACTCCATTTTAATGACCCCTCAAAATCTTTATGAAAAATTACATTACTATATTTAAAAAAATAATCTAAGAACCCTGTGACGGAACATTATAGGGAACAGAACAAGTAAAACATAGGAACTGAAGACTTGAAAAATACCATTCCTTCCTTCCTATTTGCTGTTCTCAACTGCTTTTAACATTTTTTAGTAACAGACAGAATGAAGTGTCATAACCATCACCTGTCTAGCACTGTCTAAGCAGGAGAGACTTACACAGCAACAAAATAAAATATATTTGTAATGAAAATATCACAATAAACAAACTGAATGCTTACTGAGCAATCACATTAAACAAAATGAGGTCTTGTCTAGTCTTGTTATGGGGGGGTTGTTTATTCCTTTGTTTAAATTCTTTGCATAGTGATATCTGAGTTTGGAAGCCAAATAATATGTAGTGGTAAGTCTTGTGTTCTTCTTTTTATACTTATTTTTAAAGAAGGTTGTCTCAGTACATTCAGATTTATTTTGGAAAATTTCTTCCCTACACAAAGTTTTATTATATTTTCCTTCATTTGAACACATAATTTCACCTGTCTTGCAGAGATGCGAAATCCATGGGTCAGCACAGATTTCCTCCTCAGAGCCTCTGCTGGGGCAATTGACATGGAATAACCTATTGCAGCAGTGACTGTGCAAGGCCTTCCTCACCCTCCTACTATTGAAGACACACAGTATTTTCTACCCTAAACCAATATTAATTATGTAGCACCAACTTAGATTTAGAAGCATCTTGTATTTCAGTAAATACTGTAATCGCCTTTTTTTGAAAAGCTTGAAGCAATTTCTTTCCTGCTGCATAATGCCTTTACACAGGGAGAAAAGAGAACAAAAAAGGGAAATGAAGAATTCACCCCTCTCTCAAGTTACAGCACGACTATAATCTAAGACAAAGGTTTTTATCTCTCCTGTACAGCAACGCTTTCCAAGCAAAAATAATTGCTTTGTGAAAATATGTAACAAAGCAGCAGTAGTCACCTGAGACAGAGGCATGTATTAAAACCTTCCAAAATAACTATCCTATTAGTTGAAAATCAATTTGGAAAAGGGGATTAAATTGTAATATGGAATAAATAAATTACATTTTAAATATCATCTAGTGTGAAGTTATTCACCACAAAAAAAAAGGTCAATTAACTTTCAATTAACTTTATCCTACTTCCACATATGAACATACCTTTGATTAAGTTTAAATTCCCAAGGTTTGGAATTCTTGCTTACTGTACAGCAGCAAGAACATACACACCAAGCACAGGCAGTGTTTGTTTTTTTTTAATTACCACAATGACTTATTTATCCTCCTTATTTTTTAAATACAAGAATTCTGACCAAAATTCACATCTCTTCCTTGGACCAATTTACAGCATACTTGCCTGAGCAATCTTCACAAAACTGGAGTTCTGTCATTTACCACACAACATCAACATACATCCATTATAAATACCAGCAACTAGAAGATGCTGTTACGGACCAGCTGGGAATATATATTTACATTTGTCCTATCAACTGACTTTCCAGAGCACTCTGACGTACAGGTAACACACTATGAACTCCTTAAATTAAAAAAATTAAATTAATTTTCACCCATTTGAACATCTGTCTTTGCTTGAGACTTGCTTAACATTTAAAAGTTAAATGGGAATATATGCATTGCCAATTTCATCTGATCTAGAAGATTCTTTTTACAATGCTTACAGGCAAGTGGTACAGAAAAACATTAAAAAGTCTACTGGAGAAAAGCCAACATATTCCTGTTCCTATTTGGCTCCTAGATGAGCAGAGTAGTTTCTTACATATAAACAGCTTAGTTACTAAATACACTCAAAAACAAGACAGCTCACCTACAAAATCTTCCCAGTATTTAAAGGAAAAACACCTATGTGGGCAGCCCAACCTTCTTATTTTCACTTCTTTAAACCCCCAAATTTTCTACAAGCTTTATCAAGAAAGCATAGCCTTTATATTCAAGGCCAGGTTGGATCGGACATGAACAACCTGGTCTAGTGGAAGGTGTCCCTGCCCTCGGCAGAGGGGTTGGAATTAGATGATCTTTAAGGTCCCTTCAAACTATTCTGTGATTCTAACAAAAGGTATCTCTCTTTTAGCAGATTGGTAACCTGTCCCCCCCCAATACTGAGCAGATTGCCTGCCAGAAAACTCTTTCGGATTACATGCTCCTGAACCACAGATCCTACTGCCTTTCAGTTCTTTTAGTACTTGACCAATAACAAATACTCAAGAGCAAAACTGAAAAAGTGAAAATTGAATTGGTATTGACTCACTGAACACAGACAAAGAGGAAAATCTCTGTTCCTTCTAGGGATATCCACTAGGAATAGTAGATACAGCATAGAAATATTATTACAAATTAATACACTTCAAACACTTTTTTTTTTTCCTCAGAGAGAACAACTTTACAATCTCAGAATAGTCTTACAGAAATTTTGAGAGAAAATTCTTAAAAAAGAAATCCTTATGCTAACTATAATTAAAAAAAGTTATCCAATATCTTACACATTTTTTCCTTTTTTTCATTACTAATCCTGGAGAAAAGGAAACAGTATGCTTACCTAATTAGGCTACGCACAACTAAGCAGCAGTTTAGTTACTTGTTCTGAACAGTACAAGTAACAGAGATGGGCTTCATATAGACATGTCTCCTTTGTGCCCTAAGCAGTCTGTACATCCAAACACAGTGCTAAGAACATGTAAGTACTCTAACTTGTTAAAAGTATCACCAAAAACTTGGATCTATCTCTACCTGTTCAATAGTTCTCAGTTTTCACTCTCTTATATATCCACTTATTAAAAAAAAAAAAAGGCAAAAAAGCTGGTGTGTCAAAAGGCATGGAAGGACAGATGTGAAGTTCAAATTTATATAAGTTTAGTTTTCATAGCGAAGGGTTCAGAAAATCAGGTACACAAAAGTCAGAGCATAAAAACAACGAAGCATAAAATCTCAGCGACTCCTAATAAATGTTGCCCATCCACTTAACATATTTCTAGCAGAAAACGGTACTGTAAAACACTATTTAGACTGTAATCTGCAAAACAAGGAGGGGAGCAGATAATAGTGTGCAACATCTCAATTTCTCTGCAATAAACAAATATGCAAAATAGATCATGGACAAGACAACTGGACCATTGTAAAATACTGCTGAAATACTGTGCAATCAAATTTCTTTTTGAGACCAAGAATTTGACTCATGTGAAAAAATGTGTCCTACTCAACCATTTTAATCTCCCAGGATGTTGACTGACATCCCACAGTAACTTCACAATGGCAGCAAAGGGCTTCACTGCCTAGATGTTATCTCCTAAAAGGTTTTAGTATAGTGAGGACACCAAATTTTGACGTGTCTCCATTTCTCTGAAACTAAACTGTATGCCACAAACTACTGGTAGCTTAGGCTGTGACTGATCAGTGATTCATCCTCTCACTTGAAGTATCTATTCATTACTCAACTGTTTTTTTCTAATTGCAGCCTGGCACACTCAGATGTGGCAGTAAAAGAGGGTTGAAGAATACTCCATGGAGGTTTAATATCCTGATGGGAGAAGGTCATTGGAAAGGACTAAACTTAGTGCTTATGGTCTGCATCACTGACAGATGTTTTCCAATCCCAGGGAGCCGCTCTTAAGGAACTATACTGCAGTCTTATCAAATAAATTCCAGGGCAGCACTAAAATTCTAGGGAATCTCAGTGAGTTAACGTGAACTGAATTTTTTTAACAAATCTTACAAAAAATGCTGTAAGATGGCTGCATATCTTTCCTGATCCATGCACAGGAAAAAACATTTCTTGACTTCTCACTGAAGGATAATGTATTCCTACATAGTCATTACTCTTCAGAAGTTATTTAAATGTATGCTTAAATGAGGAAAAAAAATTGTCCCCTTCTTGACAAACCGCAAGAACTAATTAGCAGAAACTTGGGCCAAAATGTTTTAATATGTGTAAGTTTGTGAAGCGTTAAGCATTTCATACTACTTGTGAACAATGGGATATCCGCCTGCTCAATCCAACAGAGGATTTCACTGGAATCCTGTGTGGCTTCATAATGCATTCTCTGAAATCAGGGCTTCTTAAAACACAAGATTACTTGGGCTGTGCCCTCCTCAATCAGTCCCTTGTGAGTATTTTCCATGTGTTATCTAGTGTCCGTAACTGAATGAAGACAAAATCCTGAAGCAAACATACAATTTCCTTCAGAAAGGAAATTCCTTTGTTCAGCACAGCAGAAGAGCACTCTTCTTTCAAAAAGAACTAAAAAAAGCACTGTTTTGGTACTTGTGACATTTTCAGATTTCAGTCTTATTCCTTCCATTTCAGAGAAGAACCCGTGTTATTTTCTGCATGCTATTTTCCTGTCCCTACATATCACTCTTTTCTTTAACAAACCTATTCTCTCAATATCTGAAAGTATAATTTTTTAAAGATTATACTAGCAGTTGCTATAATTCTGCATCTCTAATCAAAACCTCTGTAAAACTGATAATTTTTGCAACTTTAAATTATCTTTTTTCTTCCAAACAGGATGAAAAATTTCAAATAATTTAAATAAATTGCTGGACAGCTAATGTGACACTTCTAGACTTTTACTCTAGTTTTTTTAATAAAACCTGAAAAATTAGAAGGTTGTTATGAACTCCTGCTTAACTGGTCTCTATTCAGTTCTAAGTGAATGGAATAAATATAGATATTCCTGTAGGATATAAGAGATATATTAAAATTATAATTGATTTTTAACATATTTTGCACATTACTGTTAAAACGCAATGATAAACAATAGAAACCACAAACATTATATTAAAGACCTGGGATTACCAAGGATGAATACTTACCTTTCTCTTATAAAGTCTGCTAAGTCTTTTGTGGACAAATGTCCGTGTTTCATGTTATGATAGAGGACATCAAAGCCATTGTTCCTTTCTCCCTAAAGATAAATAGAAAGCAGAACTATGAAACACAACGTGTTTGAACTTATGCATTTTAATAACTGCTCAAGTTTCATCAAGTGAATTATTTCTAATGTTTCAGCTTTTTAAAAACTGCTGTTAGTTCCCACTAATCCCATAAATGTAAGCCAAACTAAAATCACCTCACAGCTACTACTACCCATCTATCACATATTTGTAGACTATATCACAAGTACTGAGGCCATGTTGCTGAGAACACAGCTGCACTGGGCAGGACACGTCTCCAGGATGAAGGACCACCGCCTCCCTAAGATCGTTCTCTATGGTGAACCTGCCACCGGCTGCCGCAAGAGAGGAGCCCCAAAGAGGAGATACAAGGACTCCCTGAAACAACATCTCAGCCTTGGCCATATTGATCAACATAACTGGTCTGCTTTGGCCTCCAATCGGGAAGTCTGGAGACACACCATCTATAACGCTGCTGATGCCTTTGAGAAAGCACGCAGGATCACCCCCGAGGAGAAAAGACAACGCAGAAAGAATCGTGCCTTGCAGAATATACCACCTAAGGAGTCTTTCTGCTGTGCCTTTTGCAACCGGACGTGCCTGTCTCGTATTGGCCTTTTTAGCCACCAACACGCTTGCAACAAACGTGGGTAGAGCCCTCCCAAATCTTTGTTTGCAAAGCCCAGCCATGATGATGATATTCAAAGCCATTTCTTTTGTAGATTTCTAGCAATCTTGTATTCTTTCACTAAGTACTGTACTATCTCTTCATTCTTTTATATCTTCCATTATTTTCCATGAACTGAAATTCACACTTAGAGACCACTAGATATCCTGTTTCCCCAATACATCACACTTCATTTATCTTCTTCTGCTTTTTATAAAAAAAAAAATCACTAATCTCTTCCTTCTAACAAAAAGCTTTCCTTTTTCTGTTCTGAAGTTTTAAAACATTTTCCCTCGAGTAAGGCATACCTCAGTAATAAAAGTGAGACACTGCCCAAAACACTAATTAATAAACTCAGTCAGATTATGACCTCTGGCACTATGGTGAATTTCCACCTGACAGGAGAATGCAACAATAGTAGAAATGAGAGGAAGGAGACGCAAGACACGGCATAATAGCACTGCTACTATAAAGGTTTTCCTGTCAAACTATCCATTCCCCTCCTCTCTTCCAGAAGGTTCAGATCTATAATGCTGCTCCTACAAAAGATACAGAAGCATGCTGTAATGAAAACTGCACGCGTGTTCCAAGTGGAAGGGAAAGAAGACTAGGATGGGATAGGATAGAATGGAATAGATTATTTCAGCTGGAAGAGATCTACAGTCATCATCTCACCCAACTGGCTGACCACCTCAGAGCTGACCCGAAGTTAAATCATGTTGTTAAGGGCATAGTCCAAATGCCCCTTTAAAGACTGACAGGCTCAAGGCACTGACCACCCTCTCTAGCAACCCTGTTCCAGTTTTTGATTACCCTCTCAGAGTAAAGGAATGCTTCCTAATGTCCAATCTGAATCTTCCCTGGCACAGTTTTCAACCATTCCTATGCATCCCTATCACTGGATTCCAGGGAGAAGAGATGATCATGTCTCTCCCCATATTCTCTGCTCAGGAAGCTGTAGAAACCAATCAGGTCACCCTCAGCCTCCTTTTTTTTTCCAAACTACACAAGTCCAAAGTCCATAGTAGCTCCTTGCAGGACATGCCTTCCAGCCCTCTTACCAGCCTTGTTGCTCTCCTCCGGATACATCTAAGTACTTTCACATCCTTAAAATCCTGGACTTTTCACAAAGGCAGCTCTATATTGTCAGTGAGAGGAGCCTGAGAATTTGGTCATATACCCTTCCAAACGTTTCTGTCTGTTCAATTCTGCAAAAATTTGTTTGTGCAGCCAAAGGCAAACCTGATAAGGGAAATTATACAGCTGAAAAATAAAGCTGGCAAATAAAAACAAGGAGCACTGATCCAGATCACTACAAGGACACGAACAAGCTGCATTGCTCAGCCAAAGAGGCGGGAGCAAGGAGAAGGCATGCAGGAATCTGCCATCTTCAATAAGTAGAAGCAGTCTAGAAGAACTTCACAGCAGCCATGGTATTAAGTCCACTTCTGCGAAGCTGCAAATTGCCTTAAAGGATACCATACACAGACATATAAATTTACAAATAACAGATAACTGAAGGCAATTTGATTCAGATTACTAGTCAGGATTATTTGCTTTACTTCTTCCAAGCACTGGGGAAAGCAAAACCAAACAAAGAGAAAAAATATCCTATAAAATCACAGTTCCTAAGATTGCAGTAAGTTGTAACCTGAAAAAGTGCATCAAAATTCAAATCAGTTTGGCATGAGTGTAATTACAGTCTGTAAAAAGTACAAGCAGCATAAACAAAACACATTAAATAGAGCAAACTCTAAAAGGACTATCTACAGAGCAAGGTTTTACCAAGACTGAAAAACAAAAGTATAAGAACACCAATTAGTAGAAAATGTAATTTCTTTTTAAATGTTGTTTTACTCTTTGAAGTACCAGTTTAAATAGTTTCACTCCCCTTTCGCTCCTATCCAAACACTTTTTCTTGTAGTTTGAAGCCCACAGTAACTTTGAATACTGGTACACTAACTTATTAACTTTATGCAGTTAATCAATATAAACCCTGAATGCCACTGCACTATAATTAAGACTTCACCAATGCTTTCAATTAGAATACAGAATATAATTCTTATTAAACTACTCCAAAGTTATTACTGTGCTGAAATTTAGAGATAAGCATTTACAAGTAATTATTAGGCATTTCTTCCAGAAAAACAAATAAAATTCTCCTTTATGAAATGTTCTTTGCTGTAAAGTGTTTATTCTTTCTAAACCAACACGGTCAAAATGCACTGAACATAGGCCACTTCTCAACTTTTTGAGAAGGTCCCATTAGGGCCTTTTCTACACTGGAGCTCCATAAATTTCCTGTCACTTTAGAAATGCAGGAAGGGTAGCTTAGCCATGACCCAGTCTCTGGCTGCAGCCCTTCTGATAAACTGTCAGAAATGTAACTGTGCAAATCTTTAGAGAATGGAACGAACCAAAACAACCAATTGCCATCATTATCTTGTTCCCAAACTGTAACTGAAGGTTACTGCAAAGGAAGTAATTTTTCCACTTCAATTAGGTTTTCTAATCAGTCCTGCTCTTGTTCCTGACTTAACATAAAATAGTAGAAAGCATGACAGAGAATCAGAATAGATACTGTTCTTAATTAAAATAAGTCCCTTGAAAGCCATATTCCTTATATGTTATCAATAGCTATCAGAGCTTAAGAGTCTATGTGCAAAATACATTAAAGTTTCAACAAAACACCAAGCTGAAAGCAGGCACCCAGATTTGAGGGCTCATGGGGTTTAAGCCTGGCACAACTAAAAGACATAGCTTCACATATAATGTGAAGTACAACCTATCTGACCAATATCAGGCTCTACCTAAAAGCATAAACATCTAGACTTCAAAACTCTTTTACATGATCAACAGTTCTGATGACTAACCTGATGACAATGCTACTCATGTTTGGAGACACATGTGTACCTAAGCCAAATTAAGTACAGTATCTCAGTGCAGAGAGCAGATATTTTTCTGCTTTAGGAAAAGCTATACAACATATTCACAGTTTCTCCACTCAGTAGTTATGTTTGTGAAGAGCAGCAACTAGAGTTATTTTGTATTTAACATTTACATTGTATATGTGGTGGCTAAGATGAAAAGTTGTTCAATTTACAAAAGCCAACTATGTATTCTCTTGCATACACACGGGCCATAAACACCGTGTTTTGGTTGTTTTTCCTCAGCAGTTCACCTCCCCACACGTACTGCACAGAATTCTGTCCATGGAAATTGTGTGCCTAGACACTTCTTCTTCATTGGGTGTTTTTACCTGCTCTTTTCCAGGGGCAACAGTACAGCTGTGATCACTAAAAGAACAGTACCGGTCCACTTAAAAATAAATTAATGCAGCACACAGTAGAAGGAACTGGTGAAACCTTCCACTCCCATTCAGAAGCAGCTACCATCCACTGCCATAACAGATAGACAGCGAAGTCAGATGAATATTCTTCTACAAGTTGCATATCAAAGAAAGAGGATTCTCTGTTGTCATGTATAACATCAGGTTCTATGTAACAGACTTCCAGATCAGTTTGACAGACCATTCTGAGTGTCATTCTGCAGGTAAACCACCATCCGGTGAGGATGATCCTGTCATTACTCAACAGAAAACAACTGTAAAACTGCGTATGAGAATGCAAAATAAGTGGTCCCCTCTCCATATAGGCAACATTTAATTGCTCTGAAGTTCATTAGCAGTTTTCTCCTTTCTCAGAGCTAACAAAACCTCTTTGGAAGCTGGTGTTCTTGTTGAGGTTTCCTATTATATCCTGCTGTAAGAAAGCTCTTTTGTATCTACAGCACAGGTGTCCCCTGACAGCAGTCCATAGGAGGAAAGAGAACTCCAAATGCAAGTAAACACCTCACTTAAATAAGCCTACAATGAAGCACTACTGACCAACCTGGCACACAAAACAAATTAAAGTTACAGAAAGCAAGGGCAAGCAGTCCTTCCATTTCCCTTCATCAAGAACTAGTTGCAATGATTTCCTCATGGAAATGAAAGTAGCCCTGTCAGCAAATGTGAACTCAGAAAGCAGCATTTCCATGGCTTGTGCATAACAGGAAACAGATTACAGGAACTGTGTTCCACTGAACTACTTGAAATAATTTTAAAAGTTTTAAGACTATGTTTGTTTGTTGCAATAAAAGTGATTCTGAATTTAAAATCCACATTTAATAAAGTAGCCAGAAATTTCTGGGCAATCTGCAGTGGCATTTATTTCGTATGTTTCTAATCAAATTGAGTGCAAGCACTATCTCCTCTGGATCAAAACTGTTCAACATTAACATCTATTAGTGTAAAAAGCTTATATTCTGTTAAAAGCACTTTCTATTTACCCAGTTCCTATGGGGGTGACCCTAAAGTTCCCATTACTGATCAGATACTGAATTCAGGGATATGTAAACTCATTTTAGATAGTCTGAAAAACACTGTTGTCAATTTTTTTAGACTGTGACTCCTTGTTGCAGTTTCAAATCAGTAACATGTGTTTCATGCTTTCTACCTAGATAATGATTTATTGGGCCCTGCATAGAAAAAACATTCCTGTGTTTAATTTTATGTGTGTTACATTTCTGAAAGCTATCTATTAGTAAATTTCAAATTGTAAGTGTCTGAAAAAGCTGTAAAAAACCTCGGAGTACTGAAAAAAACAGTCACCTGATGCTTACAGATGCAACATATCTTCTTTAGTTCTGGAAGTTTTGAGAAGATTGAATACAAAAGCAACCTGGCAATTTCAATTTCCTTCTTCCAGCTTCAATATATTAAAAAAAGATCAGCTCCAGAGAAGCTGTACACATATGAGGAAGGACAGATATTTTTCTCCATAAACAGACAACTAAAAATATTTTCTAACAAATAGATGGAAAGATGGCAACTCATGCTAGATGCACACATGCACAGGAAGGAGACTAAGCAAATATTGCACAACAGCTCAGAGCATCCAGCTGTATGCCAAGCAGAAGAGTAATGCTGTGTAAACATATGAATGGAACTACAGATGTCAGCATGACAAGTCTCGGTGTCAGTCATACTCACATGTTTGTAGGAAAATACATTTTACCCTTAATAGAGCAAGTCTCTTTGCAAAGCTAGGATTATTAAACCTAGATACTGCCAGCCATGTTACAAAAGCTCCTGAAAAAAATCAATCCTCCACACAGCTATTCTTAAAAGTTACAAGTAACACAACCAATTCAAAAAATAAAAGAAATTCATCAAAGCCAATATGAACATACATTTTTATATCCCAGAACTTCCAGAGTTACCAAGCACAGAATTACACAGAAACCAGTTTCAACTATACACAGAACTTCCAACAGTTTAATCAAATTAATTTTAAACTATTCATAAACAAACACTGACTGGTTTGGAAGGGGCTTATTTTTCTGACTTGTTAATAATAATTCTATTAAACTATGTCAAAAGCATCATCTGCACCAGTCAGTTTAAATACGATGTCAAAACTTAAGCAATATTTTCTGTTAAGGAAACAGTAAGTCAACAATAAAGAACACTTTCTATTCTACAATACCAGTCTGAGTGTACTCAAAGTGACGAAATGCAGCTATGTTTAATGGAAACAGCTTATAATAGTGTTACCTTGAAGGTACAATACTGTTTTGATTCAGTACATACATAGCAGCAAGCACACAATGTTTTATGACAACATCCTAATTAGGAATTGGGAATGTTTGGCCACGTGACTTGTATGCCTAAAATTCAGTCATAAGAATCAAAGCCATTTATATCCTGTACTACTAGTTCATAACTTTTGATACCCAAAAATACCCTCCTGACTTTGAAAACCGCTGCTTTAGACTGCCGCGCTCCTGTAGCTGACTCCTGCATCTTGCAAGTGATAGTAAAATTTTTCAAGATACAGTACAGGCCTCTGTACTTCAGAGTCTTATCTATCAAGGACCTCTTACCAAGACCCCTTTCCAAGAGATGGTAGGCCCATAAAACATCCAATTTTCTTACATTCTCTAACAACAACACATGTAACTATTCAGACACTTCAAAAAGCAATGCAAGAGGAAAACCTCATAAGCTTTAAGACTGTTACAACAAAGAAGGTAAGATTTGTTTTGTTTACACGAGTACTTTTAGCAAGACAACAGCTTAATTAGTATGTAAGGAATTGATACATTCACATATTTGTCCCTCTCCTTTTCTGAAGAAATCATTTAAGACAGTCAAGACTCTGATGTCTTTTCCTATCAGCTACAGCAAATTACCAAATCAAGGGAAAGCACCATACAGCTCAAGATCCAGACTTCCATTTCCAATGAACAATTTCAGCTGCAAACTGCTGAGAGCATGCATGTCAAATATTAATTATGTTTTGGATTCATTTTCACATCAGTACTTAAAAAAGCCTAATTATTCGATTTCATAGGTGACGTAAATATTTTACCTGGTGTTACTTAGAAGGGTAAGGCAAAGGCAAGAAATAAAAGACAATTCTTCATAAGTTCTACACACTACTACGTTCCTTTCTCCTTACACATTTCTCTTCATTTTAATCATCTAGAATTTTTAGTTATTATGCATTCAGTGCATTTTAACATTCTTATTTCCATCTTAACTTTCTCACCACAATTCAAAGCCTATAGAGAGTGTGTCCCAAGACTTTCAAAGCACAGCAGTAGCAATACTGAACAATAACCTATTATGAAAAGTTAGCAGAAATGGAGAAGCCTTATGATTCAAAATGTACAAACTTCTAATTTACGTCTAGTTTTGCTGATATATAGAAACTCAATACTTTAAGACTTTACAAATCCATCACTACAGTTAATCTTGAAAGACACTTACCCACAAGAGTAAAGAAGGAATATTACCCATTCCTTTTAATTTTACTTCTACACAAAAGAAAACTCTGCTCAGGTATTACAAAAGTTTCTTGGTTAAGTTTTGTAAGTTAAGATCCTGTCTAATGTCTTTATTGTCACTGCAATACAAACAAGAACACGTCTTGTTCTACCTTATGTCATTTTTGGAAGCAGGAGAAAAATCTGCAGTAATAGAAGAAATTTCCCTTCTCCTGGCATGCATTGATGACCCACGCTAGGAGTTTTACTAACAGAGCTAAAAGGCAGAAACTTTGCAGAGCAGAAAGAGAGGATGGGAATTTTGGGTAGATGTCTACTACCTCATATTTGCCAATAGGATTTCTGAAGACACAGACAGGGAAACAGAACATATGGGAATGGCCCACTGTCTTTAACGATTCAACAAAATTACTAACTAATTAACAAAATAAAATACAATTGATCAGACAAATAGTTAAATGAATGTACGATAGTACTTAACATAGTTTAATAGAAAAATGTTTGATTTCCATTGCGATAGCTGCATAAACAACTCCTATTTTACTTTGATCTTAGGTGGAAATAGTAACTTTTCCAATGAAAATGCATCTTCTTATATAAATTTTCTTTTTAGGAAAGATAAAAAATTTTCACATTAGTTTAATACTGATCTCCTACTTGAGGCTTCAAATTAAACAGATTTTGTATACCAAGAGAGCAAATCTAACATTCTGTTTCATTAAATTTTAATAGTATGTTGAGAGCAAAACGTAAGGACTCAAAACTAAATACAAAGCTGCAAATAAAACACAGATTTGAACTATACCCTATATTCAAGAATAGTGTATTATAATTGTGAAAATAGTTTTCCCTAAACTTTAACTGTTGCTTACACTGAAAAAGTAAACACGTAAAAGGCATTTTTCTGTCACTTCAGTCTCAACAAATAAGAATTTTTATGTTGCCGTTATTAGCTGGTAGAGAGGCACATAAAAAACCCAAACATGTAAAGAAATACAACTTTGTAAACCCACAGTTTAGCTTTTCATCCATATGTATCTACCCACTTAAAAACACGCATATTTCCGCAGAGATGACTTATAAAATCGCGTGTCCGGAGCCAACGGGAAAGCCTGTTGTTTCCCTGGACGGCTGGTGCTCGGGCTGTAGCTCCTCACGGGCAAAGGAGACGAGCGACGGGTCTACAAGCGCGGAGCGTCGAGGGGCGGCTCTGCCTTGGCACGGCACAAACGCGAAGCTGCTACAGCCAGTGCTGCTCCCCCGCACAGCAGAGACCGTGACAGCCCAGGGCACACCCAGGCACCGCCGTGCCCGCCAGAAACAGACCCCCGAGCACACGGTCGCGTCTGCGCAACCCTCGGCCCAGCGCCCCGCGGCGACCACCCATCCCATCCCGCCCCTCTCCCCGCCGTCTCTCCGTAGCGGAGCCCGAGCACGGCGGCGGGGCAGTGGCGGCGGTGCCCTTGCCCTGCCGCGGGCTCCGGGTCCTCCTCTGCCGCACGGCCCTGCCCGGGCGCGGCGGGCGCAGGGGGCGGCGGACATGAGCCCCTCGCCGCCAGGCCCTGGCCCAGTCCCGGGGGGTGGCGTAAGAGCCGAGGCTGGTCCCGCAGGGGGGACCGCGGCTGCCCCGCGCCGCGCCCTGCCCGTTCCGCCCGCGGCGCGGCGGCACCGGCCCGCGGCGCCGACCTACCCAGAAGCTCTCCACGAAGTACGCCATCCCTCCTCCTTCGCCGCCCCGGCAACACCGGCGAGCCCGGCCGTGGCCGCCGCTGCCGCCGAAGGAAACGGGCGCCGCCGCCGCGCTCCGCCCTTCCCGTGACGGAGCCGCCGCCGCTCCCGGCCCGCCCCAGCCCCGCGCCTGCGCCCCGCCGCCGCCGCTCCTGCGCAGGCGCGGCCGCTCCGGCAGCCAGAAATACGGGGCGCCATCTCGGGAGGGTGGCGGTTTCAGGTGCCGGCCTGCAGCAACACGGACACAGCTGTAGAGGGCAGGCTCGGAAACCTCCAGCAAACCCCCCCACACGTATGGAGTAACCACTAGGGAACGGCTACACTGAGTGCCACGGTGCACGGAGGAGAGGAGACTCTCCTGTTTGAAGGTTCTTCACCCAGAGGGTGGTTGGGCGCTGGAACAGGCTCCCCAGGGAAGTGGTCACAGCACCAAGCCTGACAGAGTTCAAGAAGCTTTTAAACAATGCTCTCAGGTACATGATGTGATTCTTGGGGATGTCCTTTTCAGGGATAAGAGTTGGACTTGGTGATTCTTGTGGGTCCCTTTCAACTCAGAATATTCTGTGATTCAGTGAAGTGGCTTCACAGCCAAGCCTTGTTCCAGCCAAGAAGGGTAAGGTCCTTCAAAGCAGGTGATGATGACTAGTCCTGTAGGGAATGTTACTGATAAAGCATAGTGTACCCTCCTAACTCCATCCTCCCACAGGATTTTACAATTCCAGTTGTGTGGTCCTAGCAGAGATGCACCTTATCTAAAGCCTAAGTGTGATAAACTCTGACTCATCTTCTTCAATGACAGTTCAGTCTCCAGACCCTTCATTGATTCGGGATAGGTTATTAGCCAGCAGGGGTGATGCTAATTGTTGGTCCAGAACATGGAGCCACTTAAGTGCCACCTGTGACCAGTCTGTACCTGGAGTGCTCCTTTTCAGTTTGTATATATACTCTTTATGGCAGAGTCAGCACGACTGGGCTCTTTCTGGGACCCCAAAGAGTTCCTGTTCTACCTTAATGAGGTGATTCATTGCCCAAAACAGCAGTTAGGTTTTCATTATTGACTAAAATTAGAGGACCAGGTCTAAGCAGCAATATGACGGGCTGCAGCTCATTGTCCAGTGCAAACCTGCTTTATCCCAACTTGATCTACGGTTATGTCAGCAGAAAGTTTTATCCAAGATACAAAAAGTAAGACGCTGATATTCTTTGCTGGGTCTTCAAGGGGCTCCCTTCCCCCTGACAGAAACCCTATTAGTTCTGGTTTGAAAAACCTCACCTGTCTTCAACTTAATACTGATGGTTTTTGTACTTTGTTTGGTAAGTTATTAGGTAAGGGATAGATCAGAACATTGAAGTCATCCTTAAGAACCTGATGAATTCACCAACTTCTATCAAATTTATGCTAAGTAAAGACTTCCACGAAAGAAAATAGTTAGGAAAAATGTAGTTCAGAAGTTTACGGAGCTATAGAATTTCATCTACTTTTAACAAAGATACTTTCATGGAAGATGAACAATATCATTCTGAACTGGTATTACAGTTATTAGTGAATGACTGTAGCTCTAGTCCATCACTTCCCATAGTTCCAAGGTGAGTTTAGAAGTTCCTTTCTTTCTAGCAGTGTTCTCCCAAAGTTCCAGTATATGCAAAGCTTGCTAAAGTTGCCAAAGCCACAACAGAGAAAACTTCTGGATCCTTTCCATAGTACTAATTTCTTTTAAAGTCCCAAGACTGTTAGATCTGGATCTCTCTCTTTTGATAAGACTGGTAAGCATGTGTACCGTAATTTTAAACAGTAATAACATGCTGTTGGACTACATTTAAGGAAAACTCCTTTATGCATCTGTTTAATTGATATAAGCAAACAGTCTTCATTATGATCTGAAAAAACATATGATCATAGTACATTTTGCAGTGTTCGCTGGGATCTGTAGGGATGTACACTAGGGCAAACAGTGGGATAAAAGCCGCATGATCAAAGCTGAAGCTTTCTATTCCATAGAAGATAGAAATATACCTTTCACAGGACCAGACACTATGATATGATGGAAGGAGAGTCAGGTTCCCTTTTACATTTCACAGAAAAGTTCCCATATTCCACATTTTCAAAGCTACGTAGTAACCCCTTATACACTGCTACATCTAGATGTGAAGCAACTGCTGCAGTTCTTCAGCATTCCAGCACGACAGAAATAGCAAACACATCCTCAGTTTTTTTCAACAACAGCTTTCCACATAAACTCAAATGAAATGCACAATCTTAGACATGAATATTAAGGTATATCCTCCAGCACAGGTGCATTTATATAGAAAACCACTTTGACAGGGATGATGATCAGGATCAGTACATATGTTTCTAAATTTTTCTACATAGAGAAATCCAGAGTGGATTACTAAAAGCAGAGACAATGTCCCTTATTCTGGAACTCCCTGATACGCAAGTTAGTGAAGCCTTTGGAAATACTTTGCATTAGCAACATTTATAGTTCTTTAATCTTAACTTCTACTCTAGCTATTGGCTGCCAAGGACAGGATACTGGATTAGGTGGACTCTTTGCTTGTCCCAGTACAGCCATTCTTCTGTTTTCTTGGTGCAATGGAGGTGGACAGAAAGGAACATTATTTTGACAGCCATAAATACACGGTGAGTCCTGTATAATAAAACAAGAATTCCCATTGCATATGTTCAGTGTCTTTCATGAAAGATCCAAATAGTTCTCTGGATTGCTAGTTTTTTAAGTTAAGAAAAGCAGTTCCTCTCCCATTTTTGTGATCAACATGAGTGTGAAGTTAAAGAGCCACAACAACAAACCTCACAAGAAGGATACGAAGAACTGAAGAGACCTCTTAGCTATACTAGTTAACTAGTTATATTTTATGAATATAATCCTAATTTTTGAAAAAGTATTCTACATTTGGCATTAATGTGGGTTGCATACCTGTGAAAGGAAGTGTCTAGCTTAGAATTACCCTTTCAGAAAATCATTCCTGATTGTGCAGTTTGCTATCTGCATCTCAATTTATCCATCCTCCCATATTTCCAGCATTTTGTTTTATGTGTTAATATTAACTTATTTTCAACAAAAATAAAGATTGTATATTTTATTTTTACCTATAGTAACTAAGTTAATTTGCTCTGTGTCTAAGCCATTTGAAAATGGACCATGAACTCTAGGGAAGGTAACTGTATTCAGTTATTAGCAAACCCTTAATACAAGAATGCACAACTGAATGAGCTAATTTTAAGATTAAAAAAAGAATAAATAATACAAATAATTGCCAAAAATAAATTGATTATTACATTATTTAATGTAATTGTGTAGTGTCAAAGAGCCAGTTGACATTTAGAGTTCTTAATAAGTTAAAAAAGAGTAAGAAACTGACTCAGGTAAAATAAATACTCTAACACTGCACTTAATTTTTAAAGAGGATCTGAAGAAGCAGATGGAGGTGGAACCATTTTATATACCATATACCTATTTCATTTACTAGATTAAGGATATGCCTTGAAACATGCATTTTCTTTCTTTATCGTCTTTGCTAAAAGAACTACTCAATTTTTTCTCCCAAACAAGATTGCCTTAAGGCTAGGCTAGGCCCTTTTCTGAAATACATGCAAACTGAAATTGTGGTCTGATGAGAGAACACTGGTGAGATTATGGCCTACATTACACTTTTACATGGAATGGGTGTCTCTAATGTAATTTCTAAGATTAAAAAAAATTTGTGCACAGAGTTATAGCCATGTTATTACAGTAAGAGATCAACTGAATTTCTTTCAACTCAGTGCAATACCTAATTGAAGTTATTTCAAAGTTAGGAATGTGTTCTGTTGAAGATTTGCAGCAAGTTTTAATGACAGTTTTCAACATCCCTGAATGATGTATTCCATTAGGCTGCACCATCTGACTCACTGTATACTTAAATGCACACTTCTCTTGATTTAGACACCAAGCTTGATCGCATCCCATTCATTAATTCAATTACTTAAATTATGAACCCAACAGCATTGTTTCCCAGTGAGTCATTTGGTGCTAATACTCCACCTTTTTTTACTCTTCTGCTCTGTTGCTACCAAAAGCATGTTTCATCAAATCAACCTTCAGTCAAATGGAAGGATCAGAAAGCACTAGTAAACATGAATAGCTTAACGTTTGTAGATTCCATTTTGACTTCCTGTCCCATTTCAGCCCTGCATGAAAAATTCTGGGAGATTTCTAATATACTCAGGAGGTGCATTACTATGGAAACACCATACTGAGTTTTTTAATCTAAATTCTGTGTAGGATGGGGAAATAACATGACCCTGAGATTATCTCAGTTAGAGCACGGTGCTAATTAACATGATGGTTGGGGCTTCAATCCCTGTAAGGGCCATTCACTTAAGAGTTGGACTCAATGATCCTTGTGGGCCCATTCCAACTCAGAATATTCTGTGAAACATCATAAATTATTATGCTGCTATACTCTCAAGAATACATTCAATGGTTAGTTGATGTATCAATATATTTATTCTTGATGTATCAATATATTTAACATTGCATACATGCTTTAGGTACTTACCTGCAAGTATGTCAATCAATGAACTTGGAGCAGCTTATTTGCAGTTAACAAGTAAAAATAACCTAAAGGAAAAAAAACACAACAAAACCTGAAATGTTTAAAACATTCAAATTTAAAGAAATATGAAGTGTTTAGAAGAGCAAGCTCTGACTGTACAACCATTTAGTACCAAAGTGCCCCACAATACCTAGTGCACAAGCAAGATGGTGTTCAGATCACAAAGATCTTCTCCACTCTGGTTATAATATACAACAGAAAAGGTAATTGTGGTAGAAGGATTTGAAGCCAAACTATTAAGATTATGTGGTACCTCAGGAAAGTACTCCTGTACAGCTTAGTATAAGAACAGATGGTGCTTGTGTCCTTGTAAGGCAGCTTGTAAGTATTACTGTACTAACAAAAAGAAGTGCAAATTCTTGGGATTGAGTTTATGCAAGGTAGTAAATAAAATAATGAAAGAGAAAGGTATTGGTCTGGACAGATATTTTAGCTGTCTAGGTAAGCAGCAGCTATTGAAATATTGTGAAAGAGGTAAAATGATTTGGTTATACATGTCCTTAATTAGGATTGCACATTAAAAATCAGAATGTCAGTATGAACACGATGGTAAGTGAATGGCTTGCATTTGGGCAAAAGTAATACTATGTGAAATTGACTCTTACCTTTGGTTCTTCGCATCCATAGATTGACATACTAGCACATACTAATGGCAGCCAGCTTTAGCAACTGGAAGAAATGTGAACTTCAGTGTCTTATCACCTCAATAAAACTCTTAAAGCCTAATTGCTTCTGAAGATGTGCAGACCTGTATTAGTAATGATTTAGAAGGCCTCCTGTCTCCACACACAGAAGACAGTGAGGTTTGGGCTTTATTTTTTGAGAAATAAAAGTAGCCAAGATGCCTATGCTTGTTAATTAGAAAAATGAAACTCTGAGTTGTTACATCAGGCGACTATTTGTGTTAAACACTGCCCTTTTACGGACTGAGAAACAGTTCCTTGCATGAGTGAATTGCTTGCAACACAATGAGAGCTGTGGTTTGAGGTTCCATCTAGCTTCCATCTGTTTTTGGCCCAATGTTGAAAAGTTTTGGTGTGCAAGGCCTTTGCTAAGGAGGATGGAGATAAGCAAAACTAAAATTAGCTACATATTCCTATGGCAGAGTACTGGAGAAAGTGATGCAACAATCTTGCTGCTTTATGTTATGGTATGTAAAGAATTTTAAAAAATGAATACTTGAATTCTTAGTTTGTCATGTGATTCATCTGATCTTCCAAAGCTAGAAGGAAAAGGTGCATATATATACATACATGGTTCCAAAATGTTTATTTGAGCACGTACATTTCACAATGAAAAATGTATATGCAAAACAATGACCATCAATACATTAAGGAGAAAAAAAACCCTACCATGTAAAATGATTTAAACTTTTCTTTTGAGATAATGATTATATTAAAAGAAGACACTGAAAGATGCGGTTTTAGAAAGAAAAATACCACCTTAAAATTTAGCTGTGAAACAGTTTTACACTTTTTTGGAGGGGTTTGTTGTTTTAGTGTTAAAGAAAAATCTCTTTTTTTTTTTTTATGGTATCATTCACAATGTTTTGAGTTTTGAAACTACAAACCCCTTCCGTTTCTATACCGAATCCTCTCAACAAGTCAACAAAAATGCAAAGCTGAAAGACAGCTTGAGAAAACTGTAAATTAAACATACCCTACCCAGTTAGGACATTCCCTGAGAGAATTTCAAGGTAAAAGGAGTGGTAAATTAACATTGCTTCTCATTGTGTCCTTTACCACAGAGATAAAATTCTATTTCCTATTTGTATTAACCACTGAAAGTGCAAAGAGAAATAATGGAAAATTTAAAAAATTGGTATGTTATAGTAACACTGCAGCAGTTATGCATCCAAGTTAACCTGTATGCTGTAAACATGGGAAGATTTTAAGTTCTCCTGTATATTTCATACAGGAAATTTATGACCACCCACTTAGCCAAAGGGCAATAAGAAAAGGAAAAATGGATAAAACTCTCAGTATAACAGTTCAACTTGTTTTATTTCCACTTTTTTATTATACACTTATTATTTATTATATATTTGCACTTTTAAATTATACATTAAGATTTGGAAAAAAAAATTTATACCTGAAGCTACATATATATATATATAAAAGTATATATAAAGCTCAATTTTCATTTTATCAATTCAAATTGAAGCCTGGCAAACAAAGGACTGATGTCACAACAACCCCTTGAAAAACTGTGATTCAAAAATAATTCCTTATATGCCATCACTTACACACATTAGTGTATGTACAGCATAATCGCATCTGTTTTCCTTAAACTGAACTGATTATTGGAAGCAACCTAATTTTAGGTCTGTCACTGTGCAAATTAACATTTGATTGTCTTTTGGGAGGTTTCAATAGTCTATACTGCTTATTTTGTGTGAAACAAGGGTAAATGCCTGTGAAAGATCATTCTTTTATGTAAGCAGTATGTTTCATTCTGGGATAACAAAAGCTACCAACAAATACTCTGTATTTTACACATACAATGTTCCTACCTAAATGCTTTTTTATTCAAGTACAACTTTAAATTAGATGTTTATATTTTATCTTTTTTTTTTATAAATAACATGATATACAGTACAAGTTCAATCCTTGGCACTGTTCCAATCTGACCACAAACTTTGCAGTAACATTCACTTTGCTTACTCAAGATGCTAGTACTTACTTATCTCTCGTTTGTAAATACAGGTAGTAAATACAGGTAGTCAAAATTAGAGGCCACATCTTAGATGTGGCTCTGAGCTGGTAGTAGAAGACTTGAACTAAACTGCTGACTGACAGCAAGATATTCTATCACAGGTACCCCAGAACATAAGGGGAGTGAGGATGGCTACTTGAAAGAAAACAGAACTTCCCCCATCCCCTCCCACACAGCCACCATCTCTGCTGATCAACTTGGTCTCTATACTGCTGTTCCATGGCCTTCTCCTGTTTCTGGAGGCAGAAGTCTAGGTAATTTGTTAAGCAGAGTTTAAGCCAAGTATGCAGCAATTAGTTTCTACTTTAAATTTTATTATAGTAAGTAGTTTTATCAATGCATTTAATTGAACTTAATCATTGCACTATAGAAACAATTTGTGCTAGACATGTAATAGTTTAAGTTGTCTAAATGCTATTGACCAACTTTTAAATATTTGAACATGAAATGTTCAAATCAACATGGGTGGACTGAATGAAACTTCTGCTTTTATATTTTCATTTTAGAGACTCTTGTATCAGGAAGTTCTGGAAGGACAGCTCTTTAAAAAGTTTCTGTTATCATGGTCCCATGAAAGCTAGATAAAATTAGACTAAGACCAGTGTAAATTTTGGTTCAAAGTCTTGAATAGCTTGAATTTATTTCTAGTTTACTCATTTTTTTATGATTTACATTACTGCTAGAACAAGGAATGAAAACAAATTTTTTTCCCTTTTCCGTTTGGAAACTTAGCACATAGCAACTGTTTCAAAAAAAGTAGTCAATGTAACATTTCTCAATAGTAAAGTAGTTAGCAGGTATCATCCAAGCGGCTCTAATTTCAAGTCACCTACACCTCCTTTTTTCCACAGTCATCTGCCCTCAAGCAGCATGAAGCATCTAAACTAAACTAATCTTAACTTATCCAAAGATTATTTTCTTTCATATAAAATGAAAATCCTTATTCCGTAAACTCTAGTACTTACATGTGTGGATCAGAAGAGTGCACTACCAGGTCAGGCAAAACATAGTTGAACAATGAATTTAATCATTCATTAAAAATTGGAATGCAACATCTATATTTAAACAACTTTATTAACATAGTCAAGCAGTGATTAACATTCACATCTATTATGTCACATCATACAAATGTAAATACAAAATTACTACAGTACAATATATATTCTCTGCATGATCCAAAATATTTGGTGGCCCCAAAAACTCTTTAAAATTCAGCAGCTTATCAAAAATTAAAACCATATTCTATTTAAAATGAAGTTCTGTTAGCACATAGGCAGACTTCAAGAAATATCACTCAATTTAGTACAGTTTGAGAGGTTGCAGGAGGATATGTTTGAAGGAAACATTCCAACATTGTGGCAGATACAGAAACATCAGATTTAAAGCTTTCAAGCAAAACTTATACAACCTAAGTTGTCAGCAGAAAGATCCAGTCATCTTTCATTTAAAACTATATTGTGTACTTCATCCAATTCAAAATTTTAGAAGTGTCTAGTATTATTAAGTTAGACAATATACAACATAATTACCTCTCTTTCCATGAAAAATAATACACTGCAGATTTCAATAGCCAAATAAACCTCCTTATACCAAACTTTTTTTCTCATTGCTGTCCTCACAAAAAACACCCAAGCCTTCTTATTTAGTTGCTCATGCAAAGTAAGGAAATAGATACCTAAACCAAAAGTAGTACAATAGAACCAGTTTATAGAAAATAATATACTATACTGTAAGTGTTGAATTCTTTGAGATGTGGATTTGGCTTACTTAAAGCATACTGTAACACCACACAGGGATTTATCTTATAGAGCCATTTCAAACTTCCCTCATGTAAGTACATTCAAGTGAGTGAGTATCACTATTTTAGCAGAATATACAAGGCAAGCAGAGTACTTGCCTCAATTCCCCATTTAAAATAATAAACTAAAACTGACTTGCTCTAACCATTAAGTGCAAAGAGCAAGCATCAGTGGCAGACAAAACCCAGTTTCTATTGGAAAAGAATACCTAGAAGACTGATGGATGCAAGTCATCCTGGAGAATGCATAGGTGAGTGAAATACACAGCTACTGATCAAGCCTTATTTATTCAAGGTGAGGTTATGTAATATATAGCAAATATGTGTGCAAACTACATCAGCATCTATCTGAGAGAGGTGCAGGATGTTTTGCCATTTCATTGTAGAGCTTAATCTTTATCTAAGATAAAAAGTCACTCTTTAGACCCTATATAAAAGCTTTATGCATCTATCATCCTCAGGAAAGAGATAGGATGGAAGCAGTTAGTGTTATTTCTTTTCCTTGACAAAATCTGAAACAAAAGATTTCCAATTTAATGTTGCATTTAAAGCATTTTTTTAAGAAACATTTAAGTTGTTTGAATATGGATGCATTCTCCTCAAGGGAAGAATGCTTTTGCACCTTGTCTGTTAATACATTCAATATGAATAATATAGGTGAAGCAAAAGTAATTATTGTCCCACAGTAAAAGGTTAATTTAGAGTAAGTTTAAGACAAGAGGAGCTGCCTAAATGAAATACGTAAACTGATAAAATTATGACACATTTTTATTAGCATGTGTTCTGAACAAAAAGGGTACAAGAGTATTCACCTGAGATAAAGTTAGTATTTGAATATTTCTAAGTAGCAATGAGTTTTGCTTGAGGAAAGCAACTTGAATTTTTAAAATATACATTTTACTATTATACAATATATGCAGTTTAAGTAATTAAAATTGATGCTAACATAAAAGTTCTAAGGAAAAAAATCACAGTGTGTATCAATATTGTTAATTACAAAATTTATGCTACTTCATAACTTTTAAAAATTATAATGATTACAAATTTTAACCCATTCTTCTAAAAGTGACCTTTTGAGTACAAGCTTCAAGGAGCAATAAACCAAAGAGTAAGAATTAGCTTCTTAAAATTTAAATATATACATATTCACTGATTTAGAAAATAATCAAGCTTTGGGAAAAAAAATACAAAATTGATTATTTTTGCTTGCACTGGTTAAAATAATGAACTAGTCTAATTTTTTTCCCTAAATGAAATGAGCGGTTTCCTGAACGTGTTATGAAAAAAACTTAATATTGAATTTCATTTAAGACTAATTTAACAGCAATTTAGAACTGCCAAAAAGATGCATTTATAAGGATTTTAAATACACTTTCTGTTACCAACTTAGGTTGATCAGTAGCTTTTTTTCACTCTCAGAATCCTTCAAAAAGGGAAACTCAAAACAGGAAAAAGGCATATATAAAAACAGTAAACACTGACCTCCTGAGGTTCCTACAACAAAAATATTCAAGTAGAAAATCTACACCATTACTTAGCAGCGGCTATTTCTGTAGTTTAGCACACTAACAGCACTTTTTTCAGTGTGTAAGGAGCAAATGAAGTAAGCCGTGCTTTTAGCATGCCAAGAGGCAGAAACACTGGAATGTAACAAAGACAAACTCACAATTCTACCAGTATAAACATTCAGTCAACATTCAAGAACTGTCAAGACTACATCACAAGAATTAAGATGCTTTTTATATATCCCATGATGCAATAATTCAATTTTAAATATTAATGCTGTTTCAGAACTTTTCTTACCTCACATTACACCCTAAATGGCTTCTGCAAATCTTTGCACTCTATTACGCATTAGGAATATGGTTTATTTGCTTTATAATATACCACAAGAACTTACTGATACAAAAGACTATTTTGTCAGTACTGTTTATTTCTGCCCTAATTAATTATTTTCCTTGCTGTCATACCAGATCAGTTCACATCTGTACACATACCTATTAAAACACATATGCACAAAAGTGGCATCCTAAGCTAATCCAAGGTGAGGTGCAGTGGTTTTATTTGGTTAAAGGGGCTTTCTGAAATTTAAGAAGTTTAGTTAAACCCAGATTCTAACTGTTATGCTACCATATTATTTGGGTAGGTTTTCTATTCTACAAACTTTTTAATGTCATTTCTCTGAAACTCTTCCTTAAAGTTCAAACACACTCAACATTAAAGAAAATTTGGGTCTAAAATAATATCCCACCTTGCTAAAGGCTGGGGGTTTTTTTCCCTTTCAAAATTTCGTTTTGAAGTGTTTTTCAGTGTCTATTAACTAATTTATTTCAGAGTTATTAGCTGAGAAGGAATTTTGTGTTTGCTACCAAAGTAATGTAATTTGAAAGCAAGTTATCACATGCAGTTTGGACCAAATTGAATAAATACTATGTACTGGCGTTATTGAATGTATTTCATACAGTACATGTCCAAACTATTCTTCAGGCATAATCCATTAAAATTTGCAAAGCCAAAAAAAAAAAGTGTGGGAGGGGGACATAAAACATGCATGTGATCATGCATTAAAAAAACAATCTAAGTTGTTTAAACAGCATTTTTAAGTTCACACTCATACAGCTCAAACTTCAGTGCAATGGCTAAATCATTCAACAGTCAAAGAACAGAACCATGCAAAGAAGAGCAAGTTCTTAAAAAAAAAAAAACCAACCAACCAAAAAACAAACAACAACAAAAAAACCACAACAAAACCCCCACTAAAACAAAAAAAACCCCAACACCCCCCCCAAAGCCCAAAACAAACAAACACCCCCCCAAAAAACAACAAAACCAAAACAAAACAAAAAAAA